AAATAGAAGTTTCCTCTTGGGTTCTGGAACAACTGAACGTGAACAAGAGGGCCCCGCACCAGAAGTGGAAGGCTGAGGGTCGTCTGGGTTTTCCTCACTAATTTTCCGATATTATGGTCATTTTGTTTCGGTCAAAAAACCCCACTAAAACCACGAAACTCATCTTCACTGGCACTTCCATCACTATTAGAACTGTCACTGGGGAACAAAAGTGTCCCAATTCGCCGAGGAGTGAGGACCTTCTTACCGCGAGGCATGGTGGACATTGTTTACTAAGAGGGCATTCCCACAAGCACCACTGGGTCCCAGATTTTTTTTCTACCGCGCACACCGACCACGCAGACCCATTCTCTCTCACCTAGGCCTACCAGCCTTTTCGCGCGAGATTTGAGGCCGCTAGAATTTATGCGTACTAGTACGTCAAAAACCCCTACGCGTAAGACGTACTAGTACGACCAAAACCCTCAAAGGGTTAAAGATAAGGTGGCTTTGAAGCCACTGTTGGTTGCCATGAGCTCAGTCTCATGATGCAGGGGAATATGGTTTATTATTACGCTAATATCAACACTACAGCTTATTTGCCTATCACAATTGATCTAATATGACATAATAAACAATATAAATAACATAAAACATGTTAAATACTCCAGAATGAATAATATTTGGCATAATACCGAGCAGTTCGACAGAGGTATGAAGAGAATATGGTATATAATACCATTCTCCTATCCCTGTCTTGGGGGCTTGTATTAGAGAAAACGGAGTGTAGCACAGGGCTAACTGTGATATACACTCGTACTGCACCATAAACCTGAAACAAAAAAAGTTATTTTCTCTATATAGATTATCACACACAGCAGCATATGTGTAGAGAACCTAGGATAACCTAAAAAAAGTCAGACAACGTGGCTTATTTCTAGTACCTGGTTTTTTATTATTTTATTATCACACTGGCCGATTCCCACCAAGGCAGGGTGGCCCGAAAAAGAAAAACTTTCACCATCATTCACTCCATCACTGTCTTGCCAGAAGGGTGCTTTACACTAGTTTTTAAACTGCAACATTAACACCCCTCCTTCAGAGTGCAGGCACTGTACTTTCCATCTCCAGGACTCAAGTCCGGCCTGCCGGTTCCCCTGAACCCCTTCATAAATGTTACTTTGCTCACACTCCAACAGCACGTCAAGTATTAAAAACCATTTGTCTCCATTCACTCCTATCAAACACGCTCACGCATACCTGCTGGAAGTCCAAGCCCCTCGCACACAAAACCTCCTTTACCCCCTCTCTCCAACCTTTCCTAGGCCGACCCCTACCCCGCCTTCCTTCCACTACAGACTGATACACTCTTGAAGTCATCTGTTTCGCTCCATTCTCTCTACATGTCCGAACCACCTCAACAACCCTTCCTCAGCCCTACTGGACAACAGTTTTGGTAATCCCGCACCTCCTCCTATCTTCCAAACTACAAATTCTCTGCATTATATTCACACCACACATTGCCCCTCAGACATGACATCTCCACTGCCTCCAGCCTTCTCCTCGCCTGCAACATTCATCACCCATGCTTCACAGCCATATAAGAGCGTTGGTAAAACTATACTCTCATACATTCCCCTCTTTGCCTCCAAGGACAAAGTTCTTTGTCTCCACAGACTCCTAAGTGCACCACTCACTCTTTTTCCCTCATCAATTCTATGATTCACCTCATCTTTCATAGACCCATCCGCTGACACGTCCACTCCCAAATATCTGAATACATTCACCTCCTCCATACTCTCTCCCTCCAATCTTATATTCAATCTTTCATCACCTAATCTTTTTGTTATCCTCATAACCTTACTCTTTCCTGTATTCACCTTAAATTTTCTTCTTTTGCACACCCTACCAAATTCATCCACCAATCTCTGATTTTTGGTAAATATTCGATTCCCAGCCAGGGTAGAAACATTGGGTGTGTTTCTTTACAGCTGTTGTCTATGTTCACCCATCAGTAAATGGGTAACTTGGTGTTAGCCGACTGGTGTGGGTGTTATCCTGGACACTGACTTAATTTGCTTGAAATACTCTGCAAAACAAGTGGCTTTCTATATAGTAGTATGTCACTGATGTCAGCTAGGCCTGTATACGTTGTACATGTACGTGTAGTAAATAAAGATATTATTATTATTATTATTATTATTATTATTATTATTATTATTATTATTATTATTATTATTATTATTATTATTATTATTATTATTATTATTATTATTATTATTATTATTATTATTATTATTATTATTTTCTCAATTGTTTGTTGGGTTATCTTATTGAAACTTGGGCAATGTATGATGGAAAGATACTAATTAATGTACACCAAAAATGAAAGAAATCAGACTATAAATAGCGAAGTTCACTTCTCAGCCATTAGTGGCCGCTTAGCGGTATATTTTTGTATGGTTGTTATGGTTATATTCTCGTTTTTTCAGTCTCATTTGATAGAATGAAAGATATACAGTGGACCCCCACTTTACGATCAGCTCCCAATGCGACCAATTATGTAAGTGTATTTATGTGAGTGCGTTTGTACATGTGTTTTTGGGGGTCTGAAATGGACTAATCTAATTCACAATATTCCTTATGGGAACAAATTTGTTCAGTAATGGCACCTGAACATACTTCAGGAATGAAATAATATCGTAAGCCGGGGGTCCACTGTATTACAGAAATAGATATGATTTTGATTGCTTTTATGATGAAAAGTACCTTGAAATTGCGCTCACAGTGGCGAAAATGTTCTATTCTTTAGCCAAGCTCATGAGTAAACAAATGACGTCACCGTCTAATACCTGTCCGCCCCCCCCGTCCAAATTCCAAAGGGCAAGAATGGGTTGACATTATTTATACAATTATTACAATAATGCAGCAGTCTGCATAACAGTAAATCTTCTATTTTTTTTGTGAATAAAAATTTTCAAATAAAAAAAAAGATAATATATGGGGGGCCTGAGCCTTGACAAATTTACCAGGAAAATGTTACTTTAGTGCCAGGAATGTCTGCATTTTTTATTTGGACCCTATTTTTGAAATTGGGCATCTTTTAAAAATTTGTTGGAAAATTGGCCAAATTCCTTTTTGATCACTATATTGGGTATTTGAAATAAGGAATGGGGGGTTTTTTCTTGTATCAGTCGACAGACTAGAATAAAAAGTTTTTTGGATCAAAAATACAGAAACAAGATTTTATACATAGCATGTGTGAAAGAGAACCTATTAACCCAAAAAAAGTCAAAGGACTTTTTTCCCATACCGGGTTTGGGCGATTTTTTGTTTTTTGGGTAAATATTTTTTTCTCTCATTTGTTTGTTGGGCTACTTATTGAAACTTGGGCAATGTATAGGGAAAGATGCTTCTTTAACGTACAACAAAAAAAAAAGACGGCAAATAAAAAAGGGAATTAACTTCTCAGCCTTTACCCCTCTTGCGGATATTTTTGCAGGGTTTTTTTTATTTTTAAATTTTTTTTTTTTGGTCTCTTTTGATAAAAAATCAAGAAATATTACAGAAAAAAGACAGATTTTGATTTTTTTCATGACAAAAATCCTTAAAATTGGCTCAAAGTAGGAGCGGAATTGTTCGTTTTTGCCATGTTCAATAACTTTGTGTGAGTCAATTTGGTTTAAATTTTATTAAGTGTTTCAAACCCTAACCACCTGTAATCCGGCAAACCATAACCCGGCACCTAAGGTCCCAAGTGCCGATTTTGATGGAGGACCTGACCTCTTTTTCATAAAATATGTTTTAAATTATTCCAAAATTCTTTCTACACATACCCAAATTAAAAAGGGCCCCTCTCTCATTTATCCCTTGGCACCCCAAATTTCCCCCTCACTCCCACAACATTTTTACCCACTTAGCATTGAAACCCCAACCACAAGTACTGCACACTTCGTTCAAAACCCCCATACCTCACTCATTCCCCCAAAACCTCTCTCCCCTCCTCTACCTTCTCTCTTCTGCGGGTGATATACACTTACATAACCATTTTCACACCAAACCCTTTTATTTTACTCCACATAACCCTTAATTAATACATTTATACTCCCTCCTTTCCTGCCATAGCTTTCCCTTTCAACATATTGCTACTCCTTTTTTAGCTCAACTGTATTTGAAACCCCTGACCAATCTCATTTACTTTTCTCCACTGAAACTCCCCCCACCCCCTTCATTTTGTTCATTTTAAAGCCGGCTCCGCTTTTTCTCATTCATAGCTCCACATTCATCTCTTTCATCATTGCACAGCACCCATGCACTTTCAACCCCCCACTTTGACAGTTTTCTTCTTTCTTTATAATCTGTACAGGGAAAGGGGGTTACTAGCCCATTGTTCCCGGTTTTATTGAATTTTAAAACCCACGCATGCTTACGGAGGAAAGATTTTTATTGCACTTCCCAGGGATAAAAAGGAAAATAAAAGAACAAAACATTAGATAAAACAAAGAAAACCATGGGTGTGTAAAAAATAAAGTGTACAGTATGTGTATGTGACCTAAGTGAAGGAATTGCAAGACTACCTGAAATCTTGCATATTTTGAGCGAAAAAAGACACCACAACCTACCATCATGTAAACACTTACGGGCTTTTTTACACTCATTTGGCGGATGGTAGTACCTCCCTGGGTGGTTCTTCTACAAACCTAAAAACCTTTGTATTTTGTCATAATTATATTTTTAAAAAATGATGAAAATTTTTTAATTACTGATTACCATGAATTACACCGTCACTACCACTAAAGTTTTTGATCAATAATTAGACAAAAATAAAGGAAAAAATTTTGATTTTGCAACCTTTCAGGGGAACAGCAAAGAAGAGAGAGCACAATGTGAATGGTGAATATGTGAATCCTTGAGGAAGATGTTCACCACCACCACAGCTTGTATATTCACTGTCTGGTGTGCTTGACCACCAACATGGCTTGTGTGTTCACCATACTTGGGGTTTTTCACCACAAGCTTGTATGTTCACTATGGCTTGTGTGTTCACTGTGGCTTGTGTGTTCACTACCACCCCCACCACTATGCTTTGTGTTAACCACCACAAAGTCTTGTGTGTTCAGCACCACCACCTGGCTTGTGTGTTCAGCACCACCACCATGGCTTGTGTGTTCACCACCATGGTTTGTGGTTCACCACCATGGCTTGTGTGCTTTACTTGGCACAAATTCTCCCATCAAGTGTAAGGTAAATTTTTAGGTAATTGTACAATGTGTATTTTGTTTTCTTATGTATGGGGTACATGTTGTAGGAAAAAACCATGTTATTCTTTTTTCATCAAATTTCCCGTATCCCACCAAGGTAGGGTGGGCCCAAAAAAGAAAAGGGGGGTTTACCAATGGACCCCGGCTGTCTTCAAAAAGGGCACAGCACGGGGCGCCTGAAGTCAGTACTGCCCAACCGGGCTTTTTTAAACCCTTTTTCTGCAGCACAAACCCCCTTTATAACCCCTACCACCGGGGTCTGGCCCAAACAGCTCGGGGCTTACCCCCCAAAATCCTCCCGGGTAAACCCCCGGTATCCATGCATTTTATAAGGGAGGCACGAAAGCGGAACAATTTAGCCCCTCTCCTTAAAATTAATAAATTTTATTAAAGAAAAATTTTGGTTTTTCTTTTTAGTCCCCCCCGCCTTGGGGGATCAACTTGTTTGTTAAAAAAAAAAAATAGCTATTGTACTTTTTAACCCCTTAAAGGTCCAAACTATATATATTTTTTTAAAACTTTGAAAGTTGTAAAAAAATGAATCTTTTTTTTTTTCATTTGAAAATTTTAAAAAAAAAACTTTTTTGTACTTTTGGTTTTTTTGTTATGTTCAAAATATGAAAAAAAACGTAGACTACTTTGGGAGCATACGGTTTGAACGCGATCTGTTTGGACCTTTTAAGGGTTAACTTCTAAACCCCTTCTTATTTAAAAAATCATTTCAGAGCATGAGTTAATAAGAAAATTATTATTTTTGTGATGTTAAAGTTATACTCTGAGGTTTTAAGAATACAACCCTTTTTACCCATTTTTTTCTTTTATTATCAGGGAAATAATTAGTAAGGAGTTTTCTGGAACATAACCCACGAAAATTTGTGATAGGGGAATTCACTTCATTCTGCGATTTTGGTTTTTCAGGGCCTTAAACTTTTTTTTTGTGCTCACTTTACTCTTGTTTAGGCCATTTTTATTTTTCCTTTCACCAATTTCCATTTTCACCAACCTTCGTAACTTTTACAGAATCTTCAAAAGGTGTCATTTTTCAAAAAGCAAATAAGAGAACTTTTCCCTTTTTTCAGATTCAGTCTTTTAATACATTCCTCTTCTGAACACTAACAAAAACTTCTACTACTTCAGTATAGAAATTGAAATGTTATTTTGTAATGTATGCACCCGCTAAGGGCTACTTTTAGTAAAAATAATCCCCTTCCCTTTTATATCCAAGTCTTGCTCTTGCATGAAAAACTACTACTTCTAGTAACCTACACCTAATCATGCATTCAGCATTTCCACTGTGTTCGTCCACCCACTTATTCCTTTTCCCACTCAAATGCAACAAAGTTCCTTTTGTTGAAGGCATAGTATGTTTTCGTAATTATATTTTTAAAATAATGATGTAAAATTTAATTACTGATTACCATGAAATTACACTCTCACTACCAGATTATTTGGTCCTATAATTAAAAATATAAAAAAGATTAGTTGTTGATTTTTCAACCTTTCAGAGAGAGAGAGAGAGAGAGAGAAGAGAGAGAGAGAGAGAGAGAGAGAGAGAGAGGAGAGAGAGAAAAAAGAAAACAGCAAGCAGCATCAGCAGCACATCATCGTCGAAGTGGTGAGATATGTGAATCCTTGAGGAAGATGTTACCACCACCACCTTGTATATTCACGTCTTTTGCTTCACCCACCCCCTGGCTTGTGTTTCACCCTATGGGTTGCATGTTCACTGTGGCTTAGTTTCACTACCACCACCACCCCCACCACCACCACAAGCCTTGTGTTAAACCCCCCACAAAAACTTGTGTGTTCAAGCCCACCACCATGGCTTTGTGTTTCACCACCCGGCTTGTGTGCTTCACTTGGCACAATTCTCTCATGAACTGTAAGGTAAATTTTTAGGTAATTGTTAAATGTGTTTTTTGCTTTCTTTTTATGTAGTAATGTTTGGGAGAGAACATGTATTCTTTTTTCAACAAACTGGTGTATTTCCCACCAAGGAAGGGTGGGGCCAAAAAGAAAACCCTAATTTCTCGTTTTAAGTTTTGTAAAATATGTAGGGTGTGAGGGGGGTAAAGGAGGTTTTTTTGGGCGAGGGGGTTGGACTTCCCCAAGCGTTCGTGAGCATGTTAATGGAGTGAACGAAAGAATTTGGGACCGACGAGCGTTTTAAATTGAGCAGGGTAATATTTAGTGAAAAATCAGGAAACAGGTTATTTTTTTATTGCTGGCTTGATCTTTGGGAAAAGGGAAGTCAATGTTGCCTGCACTTTAACCCCCTTTAAAGGGCCAAACATATTTCATGGACCCCCGGGTTAACGATATTTTTTTTTTTATCAATAAGTATGTTCAGGGGCCAGTACTGACCGAATTATTCCCCCTAAGGAATATTGTGAAGTAATTAGTCCATTTCAGACCCCCAAAATACACGTACAAACCATTACATAAATACACTTTCATAATTGGGCGCATTTGAGGGAATCTTTCGGGGGGCCACTGTTTACTTTTTTCAACATATGAAAGTATGTAAAAAAATGAGACTTTTTTTTTTTTACATGTGAAAACGTGTAAAAAAAACTTTTTTTCTACATTTTTTTTTTTTACGTGGGCCCCCCCCATAGCGATTTTAATCCCTGCAAGAGGGCTCATTGTTTTTGCGAAATGATCGGTTGCAAGAATTTTTCCCCATAAGAAAAAATGGAAATCAAATTTAAACTTTCAAACGCCCCCAAAGTATAAAAAAAATTTTACCACATGAAATTACATTTTCCCACACACAAAGAGAAGGATACATGCACAAAAAAGGGGAAATACATGCACAAAATTAAATTTCATGTATACTCTACTAAGAAAAATAAATACACTTACCTTTATTGAAGATGCAGCAATGGCGATGAGACACGTGTCCCGGGGGTGCCTTTTCCCCCTGAGTACGAGGTCCTGTTTTGGGATTTTTTCCAGAACAGGCCTTATCACACTGGTATGCCACTACAATTTTTAAATCTCTCAAACCAAAAACCTTTTCGGGTTTAAATTAACCAAAATGGCCAGTTCCAGGATTTTTCCCATTTCCCCGGGGGGGTTTGTCGACTTTGTGGGTTTCATCCTGGGAACAAGATTAAGCACCCCCCTGAAAATAAGTTTGACATCTTCGATACACTGACTTTTTTGGGGTTTTCCTGGGTGGGGAAATCCTCTGGGGTTTTTTGTTTCTTGGGATTCTCAAAAACCCACCAACAACGGTGCTACAGCAGCAGAGTGACAGTGCTACAGCAGACAACGATGCTACAGCACAGCAACGGTGGTACAGCAGAGCAGCAGCAGCAGCAGCTGACGGGGGCACAGCAGCACAGACGAGCACGCAGCAGCAGACGGTGGGACAAGCAGCAGCAGCAGTACGGTCACAGCAGCAGCAGACGACACAGAGCAGCAGAAAGGTGGTACGCAGCAGCTACGGTGCTAACAGCACACAGAGCTGACAGTGCAGCACAGCGACAGTGGTACGCACAGCAGCAGCTGTACCACCCCAATAAGCGATGGTTTTTGGGGTTTTATTATACAACCTGGCCAGCTCGGAGACACCACTCCACTTTTTTACTTACAATATCTTTTTTTTTCATCTCTATAGTAATTTTTCGCCCCTTTTTCTGTAGGGTTGGTACTGAAGCTTTCTTGGGGCCCATGGTCACTTATTTTCCCAAAAAAATCACCAAAAACACGTAAAATAGAAATTTCGATTGATGTTTGGGGTTACCGGGGAGGCTGGTGGAAAAAATGCCACCCGGCGGAACATGTGAGGCGGCTAAGGGGGCACATTGGACGCTTCGGCGAACACGGGGATGGGGTTTTTTTTTAGCGGTAGCAGGCAAAATTTTTGCGATAAAAAACGAGCGGTAGCGGATTAAAAGTTATGTGATGCCAACGGGAGCGGGGTCCCGTATTGAAAATATGTAAAAAAAAATAGATCTACTTTTGTAGCACTCAATTTTTCGTCATCTGTTGGACCGTTTAAGGGTTAAAGGAGGGGGTTTTGGGATATTGGCAGTTTGGGGGTTTTGTTGTTATCTTTATACGTAATGCTTCTAAATGTTGTATTTTTTAGCACCTCTGCAAAAAAAAATTTTTGTAAAGGTGAGGTAAAGGTTGAATGATGGGAAAAATATTTTCTTTTTTTGGGAATTTTTTTCTTTTTTTGGGTCACCCTGCTTCGGTGGGAGACGGTTTTGATTTTTGAAGAAAAAAAAAATTAGGTGTTTGGAAATCAACTAAATGCCAGCGCAAAGGGGAGTACAAACCCTTTTCCCGACAGCTTAATAAAAATATAAAGAAGAAAAACCTTTTGTGGGATGTTTGAAAGGGCAGGATGTGTGAATGATAAGAAATAAATGATTGTGGATGTTTTGAATGAGAATTGGTGTCTTCTCTAAGTGAAAAAGAGCTGAAGGGGGTAGGGAGTTTATTTGGGAAAAAGATAAAATTAGTCAGGGGGGTTTCTAAAGTGTTATAGCTAAGGAAGGAGTAGCACAAAAGTTAAAGGGTCAATTCTGGCGGGAAAAAAAGAAATATAAATGTATAAATTCAAGGATTATGTGAAGTAAAATAAGATTGGGATGTGAAAAGTGGGTTATAGTAAGTGTTTATGGACCTGGAGAAGAGAGAAGTGTAGAGGAGAAAGAGATTTTGGGAGATGAGTGAGTGCTTGGTGAATTGTGAACAAAGAGAGTACTTGTGGTGGGGTACCTAAATGCTGAAGTGGGTAAATCTGTTATGGAGGGAGTAGTAGATACGTTTGGGACACCAAGGGAAAATGAAAATGGGGGACCTTTAATTGAACTATGTATAGAAAGAGGATTGGTAATACAATTTAAAGAAAAAGAGGATAAATAAGTATACAAGATATGATACAGCATGTAATGACAGTAGTTTGTTAGATTATGTATTGGTGGATTAAAGGTTGATGAATAGACGTCAAGATGTGCATGTTTA